AGAGAGAGAGAGAGAGAGAGAGAGAGAGAGAGAGAGAGAGAGAGAGAGAGAGAGAGAGAGAGAGAGAGAGAAGAGATGCCTAGTGAGAGTGAGTGGAAACACTTAGTCGAACTTTTCGAGCACGAAACTCAAGAGGAATTTCGGATGATTCCCAGAACCACACAAACTTTTCACTTGAGAAGATAACACGCTCGCGCCTATGGAAACCCAGGTCAGTACCTCGACATTTCCCGGGGAACCCATCTTGCAAATATCTGACGTGGCAGACGATTTGGAACCCCCTCACACTTTGTACGAGGGAACACTTTCCCTCCGAGCGCGCTATCAACAGGTGAAACAATACCTGGAAGTTTCTGGTTCCCCTCCGAGGTCGCTGCTTACAACAGGAGAGACCATCGCTCTGATAAAACAAGAAGCCGAAGCTCCCGTCACGATGTGCCCGATCTAATGCAAGAAATGGTGGATTTAACAGGACTAACAGTGGAAGAAACTACGGCCGACTCGGAAACTGACGCTGAAATTAAAGAGAGCGAGATGATTAGCCCTGCTGAATCCCAGATGATTGCGACTGTATTTTCTGTTCGCACGTGCAGCTCTATTTTCTCTAGCGTTTATGATCGACGCAATCAACCTGATGATTGGATCGACATGCCCCTTGAGATACCCGATCGACCGACAGTCGCTCTGCCGAATCACGTTCCCCTGGAATTTCAAAAATCACTGATTAATGTCTTGAATGGGTACTTAGAAGTATTAAGTGTGCACGATAACGGTATCGGACTGTCTAACGTGATTGAGCATGCCATCCTTACGAGGGATCATCCACCCATTAGCTGCGTTCCTTATCGATACTCGCCAGCCCAACGGCTGGCCGCGTTTCCGTGAATTAAGGAATTCGAAGCTAATGGATGGATCGAACCCGCTATAGGACCTTGGTTGTTTCCGGTGGTAATCGTGCCCAAAAAGGCCGGAGGGATTCGCATATGTATCGATTATCGGAAGCTGAACGATATCACGATCAAAGATGTGTACCCCCTTCCCCGGATTGATGAGTTGTTGGATGTGATTGGGAGTGCTCAATTTTTCAGTAAGTTCAATGTTCGTCATGAGTTTCATCATCTCCTTGAAGTTGTTCAAGAGGAGGACTGTTTGAAAATGACGTTTGTGTTGTTCGAAGGTACTTGGCAATGGATTCGATGTCCAATGGACATCTGCAATGCTCCAGCAACCTTTCAGCGAGCCATGAACATGGCTTTTTAGAACTTTGTGCGGAAGACACGTCTGTCGCAGAGTATCATCAACTATTGCGTGATTGTGTACATGAATGATATTCTGGTGTACTCGAGTTCTTACGAGGGGCATGTGCAACACATCGAATGGACGTTGCATGCATTGAGGGATGCCGGTTTTAAGGTGGCACTTGAGAAATGCCAGTTCTTTCTCACCACCATTTCCTTCCTAGGACACGTGGTGACGGACCAAGGACTCAGACCGGAACCTCAAAAGGTGGCAGCTGTGAGAGACGCGCCTGTGCCCACTCACGCAAGTTCGCGCCTTTCTGGACCTGGCCTCGTACTACCGAAGGTTTATCAAGGGCTTCGCGGCGATTGAAGGTCCCCTCACGAATCTGCTTAAAAAGGATCAACCGTTGATTTGGACGCCAAAATGTGATCAAGCGTTTTCGAAACTCAAGGCAGCTCTTATTTCGGCTCCGGTCCTTATAAGGACGGATCCCGAAAAACCTTTTGTCCTCATCACGGACTGGCAACCGGAGGCAATCTCAGCGATCTTGGCCCAGGTGGGACCGGGCGGGCTCGACTACGTGGTGGAATACGCGTCTAAGTCGGTGCCTGCCTGCAAGCGCAATTACGCCGCCCCGACAGGAGAGTGCTATGCAGCTCTGTGGGGAATCAGTCACTTCCGAGCCTATCTGTATGGGCCGAAGTTCATGCTGGTGACCGATCATGAGCCATTATTAGCCCTGAAGAAATCTAAGGATTACTGGGGCATGATCGGGAGATGGGCAACGGTGCTACAGAGCATGGACTTTGACATTCATCATCGGAAGCACGAGAGGCACGGGAATGCTGACGGGTTGACACGACTGCACCGACCCGAAAAGGTCCCCAAGAGCGAGGAGGTGATTTCGTGGAACGAGCCGAAGGATGAGAACGGACCACGGTACGGGCAAGTGGAAATTGTGTCGAAGAACTGAGCGACACGGGGCCTTTGCTCTGCCCTCTTTGCAACCCTGCTCTCTCTCTCTCTCTCTCTCTCTCTCTCTCTCTCTCTCTCTCTCTCTCTCTCTCTCTCTCTCTCTCTCTCTCTCCCCCTCTCGTCATGGCTACCCCACCTGTCTCTGCGACCCCTTCTTCCCCTGCCGATTCCGCCCCTCTCACCCCCTCGGCCTTCTTTACCACCCTTCCTGATAAATTCTGCTATTTTTGCACGTGTATTACACGGGTTTATCGGGTGGACTGTCATCCTTTTGAGACCGGATTCATTGATTGGGTGGACTGTGCCACGTGTGTCAATCGTGCGCACGGTGGATGCGTTCGATACCGAACGAGTAGTAAGGTATGGAAGTGCCCTCTGTGTAGAACGGACAAACTCCCGACCGAGGTTCGATTCGAGGCTGCTCGAACGGACGACCCTGAATATGACGAGAAATACTGACGAGCGGAGGTCTGGACGGATAAAATTCTATTAGCTAAATTGGCTGGTTTACCATTGGATCATCTCACTAAGCACGACAGACGTCGGGCTACCGAGAGATCCCGGGATTACCGATGGATCAACGGTCACCTAGAAAAGCGTAAGACTGACGGATCGGGTTTGTGGTTGACGGTTTCCCATCCATTCCAGAGATATGATTGGACCTGATCTGCTCACGAAGAGCAGGCCTCTCACTTCGCGATACGTATCACTGAAGCAACTATAGATCAGAATCGATGGTTCTGGTCTAATATACGGGACGATGTCAGATACGTGGTCGCCAACTGTCTGGTCTGTGCCGCCGACCGTGGCCCAATACGGGGACCAAACACGATAGTGTCGACGGAAGAGGAGCGCCCTTTTAGCGAGTCAGTATGGACACGACAGATATCGACGTGCCACCTGGCCCAAACCGTTCCGAATATTCCATCCTTTTAGTGTTAATAGACCATTTTTCCAAATACATCGAGGTCTACCCCTGCAAGACCCGTAAGGCCACAGAGATAGCCATCTAGATACGGAAGAGATTCTAACCGACAACGGGTCCGAATTCAAAGGCGAGGTAGAGGAATTGCTCGCGCGCCGAGGCATTACACTTCGACACACGGCACCCCACGTTTCCCAGTCGAATAGGTTGTTCGAAAATGCCAATCGCATGATAAAGACCGCCCTTCGTAGAAATCTAGCGGCGCATGACACTCGTCCGTGGCCCGAGATCGTATACCAAATCGTCGGAATTCACCGGGCCACCCCTCACGAATCCACGGGGTTCACCCCCTTTCAGCTTCGCACCACTAGCCTCCCATGTGTCGATTATCGGGGAAACTCGGAAATTGCCGAAGCAGGGGGTAGAGACACGCGTGCCGCCCTTAAGGCCAAGGCCAAAAGGTACACCGATTTGATGGAAAAGGCCGTCCCGAAACTAGCCCGAAAGAGACAGAAAATGACTGATCTAGCCTACGGGAGGCAAGTCCGTAGCTACGAGGCCCGAAATGGGAATGTCGGTCCCCAACGTCAATATAAATTAGGAGACCTGGTGCAGGTACGTAAATGTGCACGCGACCGGAAACTCGCTTCCAAGTTCTCTGGCTGCTTCCGCATTGCCGAGCTCGGACCCAACGGTGCCAACACGGTGCGCATTGCGGCCGAGGCCAGCGCCAGCCATAGCTCCGTCCCCATCGTCCGCCATACCTCTTATATCCATCCCCTCCCTCCTTCTAGTCTCCCTCCGTCTCCCTCATCTGCTGAAGAAGAGGACGACAACGATCTAGCCCCCGCCTCGTTCTCTCCCTCTTGTTCCCATCTCTCATCTTCTTCCCTGTCCTCGGCATGAGTTTCATCACGGAGCAAGCCCTTGGCAATCATCTGCTGCAGCCACATGGCTATATCTCGGAGACCCGGCAAGTTCGTCATCCGCGGCTTAGTCCTGATCTACAACGACTGGCTCAGTTCTTCTGCACCGAAGGTGTGTGTGCCGCCGCTGCGTTCCGATTCGCAAGAAGTCCGCAGGCAGTACTATTGGAAGAGGTGGTGACAGTCAATCGGCGGGCGGCTCGAGGAACGAGCCACGTCACCACGGTCGCTGTCTTCAGCGACGATATCAGCGCGGTCAACTCGCTTCGACATACCGAGATCCTGACCTCATTACGGGAGTGGTCGCAGCAGTTATCGGCTGAGTGGCATCACGGTTTTGTGCTCTCCGACGACAACCTCGTCCCGACGTACGAGACCGACTTTGATGGGATCCGCACCTCTACGCGCCAGCCGGCAGTGGTGCTCCCCACACTCGTCCCCTTCCAACGCCCCCAATGAACTCGCTCCTCTCTCCACCTTCGGCCTTCCCTCTCTTTTCCCCACCTTTTGGCGATCCGATCTTCATCCTCGTCTTTCTTTATTGCTCGAGCGCCTTGCTGTCCTGCTCCTGGATCCCAGGCATTGGCGGGCGTGGCGCGAGACTTTTGTTGATCTGCCTGTGTGCTTGGCCAGAGTGACGGTGACGTGGACGCGGACCGACGAGCATCAAGGGTGCATTGAGTACTTGGAGCTGCTGATTATCCCGGCTTGGAGAACTGACGTAGAGGGCGATCTTCTCGGTTTTCTTTTCGGATCGGTGCGGCCAGGCCATCGCCAGCTAATTGCCCAGGAACTCGTCGTCCCGCTCGCGCAGCTGGTCGACGACCTCCTTCTCGACATTGTTTCGCAAAGTGACGAGAGTCCAGCTCCGCACGTCCTTACGCGGACCTTGGCCCTGTATCTTCAGTGGACTGCGTGTTTGGAGAAACCAGGGAGTGAAAGCGCCCTGCCGTCGCAGCAGGAGTACTTGAAGCCGAACGGAATCATCAATCTTGCCTTCTATCCGAAGCAAGATACGTCTGAGGAGGCTGAAGAAGAAGAAGAAGCCACCGAAGAAGAAGGCGACGCCGAAGAAGAAACGTGGGAGGAGGGGAGTTATAGTGAGCACAGTGAAGGGGAGCAGAGTGTAGAGGAGGAGGAGGAAGAAGACGACGAAGAGGAGGAAGCCGGATCGGAGTGGGAAGCCTTGTCGGAAGAAGCGGCGTGCACAGGCACAGAGGCGGAAGATCCCGAGGTGGCGCGTAAGAGGGAAGAAATCGCCACCGGGAAGAGGCAGCTAGAGTTCGCCAGTGGGGCGAACCTGCGCATCAACGACAACCCGACCCGGGATCCGGAGCCCCCCAAGCCCGAAGATGGCGACCCTCTGGCCACGGCTCCGAGCGCATCGCGATGGAGACGGAGCAGATCCCCCTCCCCCTCCACCTCAGTCCGTCCCCCAGTTCGTCCACGTACCGATGCGGGGGATCGGCCTTCGTCCCTGGTCATTATCCCGCCATCCCCTTGATTACCTCACCCTCTGTCAGATCTCTACCCCCGTCACCTTCGCTCGCACCCTTCCCTCCCAATACCTTCCATCACTTCTACTCCACCTGCCTCGCCGTCACCGTCCATCCCTGTCCTTCCCTTCAATGTGCAACCCCCGTCTTCTGCTTGCATGTCCTTTTGTTTAGTGTTGTGTGGGAGCAGAGCAACGCAGCAGAAGTCTACTGCGTAATCACGTGAACCATCCCCGCATGCCCCAATCACGAGCTATTTCGCGGGGCGCTCTTCCGCACTCTCTCCACTCTCTACCCCGACTACCTTGCCTCCTTCCCTCACAGCGGCGACCAATTTCCCCGCTTTCACCAGATCATCCGCTATGAGGAAGTTTCCAGTGACAGTGGAAGGGATTGACCGCTATTTACCCCCACTTCCTCCCAATCCTCCCCGTCGGCACCCCTCCATTGTACAATGTCTACTTTCCCATTCCTACGCGGCACTGATACCCGCCACATCTTATGACGGCGGCGCATCCCACCCTCTTCTTGTCAATGACTATTCTGAGGGATTAGGTGGTTAGGCTTGCCACACTGGATGACATCCACACTCGTTTTCACGATAAGTGGCATATGGAAGTCTCTCCGTGGCGATCGACTGGAGAAATCGACACGTGTCCCCCGAGCAACACGAATCAGCAGTTTCGTGAAGATCACGCCATTGACGATGACGTCAACACATGCTCTGATTCAACGGATTGCGCTGGAGTGGGAGTGCAGAGTACACGGAGACCTGATGGACCATGATGGTGCCACCTGGACGATCTCCGAAATTTGAAGGGCAGGGGGTTGCATATGACAGGACTGCCGATGATAGGATCCGAAACAGCAGGAGCCGCCATCCATCATGGAGATCTTGCCACTGATGTTGTCGCCAACCCACAACCCGACTCAGTTTTCTCTGCTGACATGGATTGTGCTGATCTAAGTTTCTCCTCTTCCTGCTTCTTCGTCTCCTCTCACTTCCCTTGTTCGAGGTTTCATGCAATCAGGAGATCGCATAGTTTTGGAATCGCCTGCGCGTCACATATGTGACGAACCACTTTCCGACCCCGTGCTATCTTTCGTACCCCTTGACTCAATTCCCTCTTTTGTATCATACTGACCCAACAAAGCCCCCGTCGCTTTTCTTGATTTCAGGCTCCTTGTTCAGGCCCCCATTTTTGGGAGGTTCTATTGATTCTTGGAATTCTGCTTTTTGTAATTCGGGAAATGCATGGGAAAGTGCGTGCGTCTTAGCGAGCGCACTAGGAATCGGGCTCGACAGTTAGGAATTCCGGAATAAGCGAAACCCGACGTGTCCTTTTTTGTGCATGAAAATGTCATGAATGCTCTCGGTCACGTTGGAGAAAACTCTAGGAATTTTGTGAGAATACGAATAGGCATAGGACTTTCTTTTCCCGCGTCGACTTTCGCGCGCGGATATGGTGATTTCAATTTTTGAATTAGTTTAGGACGTAGGCAAGTTGTAACTGTTTTGCTGCCTTTTCTTTCTTGTTGTCGACACCGTGCATACAATCTTCCTCCTCCTTATTTCCCGCGCCATTCTTCCCCCGTGCTCTCTTCTCTCTCCCTTCCCCCTTCTCTTCTTCTCCTTTCGCAACTGTTTTCCCTCTTTCTACTCTTTGCGCGCTTGTTTTCCCTTCTCCATCATCTGAATCTTGGACCCGTCTTGCGCTGCTTCTCGCGCCTCTTTCCTTCTCGCTCCTTAACCTTGGCTCACGAAGCCCGGTTGATCCTTCGATTACCCCCGCTCACCAATCAGACGCGTTGAGTAAGAGGATCTTCCTATTGCGCGACGAATCTGATTGGATGAACATTGGGCTCCAAAGGATCAACATGGCTTCCCTTGAGCGCCCCCCGCTGAATCTTCTCCTCCTACACCTCGATTTCCCCTCAGCCTTCTCTTCCTTTTGTCTTCCTCCACAACTATAAATTCCACAAGCGCCCGCAAATCTCTCTCTCGTTTTTTAACTCCCAAGCCAGCTTCCGGGAAGCCGTGGCTAGGTGATGCGTTCTGTGCGAGTCGAAAAGTCCTGACGGGCTGAATATAAGCTGGCCGGTTGCGTGCTTGATCGCCACGACGGACTGTGGGACCTGGGCGAGCCGTATCGAGCTTGCGTCAGCGGGGTGACGATCGCAGCGGCGGAAGTTAGCACGCGATGGCCGGGATCGTCGGTGCGGGTATGAGGATCGGTAATTGGAGTTGAGTGGATGATTGGCCCAGGGCTATATTGGAATTTCACGGCGAATGCGCCTTCATTGTTGCGGATCATTATCTTTGGTGTGAGTTCATGGTTGTGAAGCCGACGTTTTCTCGTCGGATTCCAGTGTCTCATGTCTCGACATCTCTCGCCCATCTCTTCCTTTTGTGATCTGAATGACGATGTGTTATGAGTCTGTCTCTCCTGTGAACAAAAGTGAATCCTTGTGATTTCTTGTGAAGAAGAACTTCTTCCGGAACTCTTCTATTAGTTTCCTGGGTAATCCCCGGATGCAAAGGAACTCAATCATCTTATCAATCCCCCGATTTATTTATGATTTGTGGACCATTGCCATTTTCGCACCTTCCACAGTGTATGTATGCATAGAAATGCTTGTATGTGAATTTTTGCGTTGATTAGACCCAAAGCTCGACGGGATCTTGTTCAAGAATGCAAGAGTGTTTAGATCTGTCGTTTTGAATGCACTGTGCATGCCATGTGCCTTACACTGCACGACATCCGCAGCCAGTCTGCGAGGCAGCCTCGAAAGAGCAAGGCGCCTCGGGTTTACGACGATCTGGCCTGCTGAACCTGAGTCGCGGGTTGGTCCCTTGAAACTTTAACCCGATTCCTGCATGGTTGTACGAGCTCTGTAACATGCTTCTCTCGTGTTGAAAGGAAGGAAAATATTAGTTGTTTTTTACGATTGTGTTTTTTTTTTTTATGACGTCTCGGGTTTTTTTGCAAACTCATTTCGATTGATTGATATGTGGACTGACGGGCGCACCGCGATTGGGCGCCAGCCTCCCGTGTCTCCCATGCCAACGCGCCCCTTCCCTTACAACAAGGAAAGGACACGTGTTTACGAGTGGGACGTACAAGAAGTTGTCGCACGGATCGGTCGACGATATTACTTCCCTCCCGAAAATCGTTGTTCTGGATTCGTGGATGCGGGCTTTGTTATTATCAATACGCACTTCCCGCCTTACTCAGTATTGTTGTCATTTAACGAGTTAATCGTCATTCCGTGGATGGCACTGGCGCCCCATTGGCCTCGAACCCTGTGCACTGAGTGCCAGCGTTTCGACCGCTACGAATCAAAGGGCTTCCACTGCCGAATACGGAGTGAAGACGAGCACAAGGAAAGAGCCACGCGGCTGAGACCCTCCACGTCAAACTCGGAACTGACCAACGAGCGACGTCGGGACTTGATACGGAAACGGGATACGCGGAGTGTACCAAAGCCCTTTCGCTCTAAACGAAGAGCCGTAGCGCGGTGGGAAGTTCGACAATACTTTTTGGATTGAATTTGGATTTTTCTCTTTTCGCGCCGTGCCCGCGCGCGCATTCGTCGACGCGCGAAAGCAACCGACCTACTTCATCGAACCAACACGGGGGATTTCAGTTCTGTCTGTGTCCCCACACTCAATTTTCCAAAAATCCTTGGCACACCCCATCTTGCTGTTTTCCCGGGCCTTCTTTCCGCACCCTTAGCACTCCGAACGGAAGACAGCACAGGGCGTGAAGTTGCGCGTCACATTATAATAGCATTCCTAGAGAAGGTAGAGACTGGGGCTCGCCACACAGCCTTTTGAATGAAGGCGAAGTTGTCAGAATTTTTCGAAAGGCTGCTCGTCGAAAGAACCCCCCCCCTCACCACACATACTTTCTTTTTTTTTTTTTTTTTCCAAAAAGCCCAGGTTGTTGTAGAGGTGGGATACTAGACAGATGGCAGTCACCCACAGTACTCGGCCACTCGGTCGTCCAGATGAACCCCTCTGAAGACCCCAGCCACCCTTCCTCTTATCTTTTTTGCCCTGGCGAAAAACTGAGGCCTTTCTATATGAAGATTTGGGCCTGACTCCACTGCTCTCCCCTTCCTATATGAAGATTTGGGCCTGACCACTGCTCTCCAGCCGTGTAAAACGAGAGTGTGAATCTTTGCCTACATGGAAAGATACACACCATAATTTTTGTCTTTTGTGCTTGTTCAGAGTAGTGGAGCCAGGCCCTTGGAATCGCCCCTTTTGTTTCTTTTTCTTTTTTGCCAATAGACCGTTTCGAGTGGGCCTTTTCACAAGACCACTCAAGGTCTTTTAAGGAAACGCTCGTGACAGGCGGGAGGATTTCATCTCTTCGAAAGGACTTTCTACGCCGGCCAATCTGACACCTTTGGAAACTTTTTCGAAAGAACTTCTGTGGAAAGGCTCTGTGGCGAAGACACGAAGTAGATTTTGCGCGTTTAGAAAGCCTGTGTGGCAAGCCCCACTGTCTCCTTTCTGTTTTAGTGATGTATAGGGGTGTGCTGTGTGACTGGGAATTGCCGTATGATCGCAAATTGGCTCACATAATTTGCGATTGTACGTGCTAGTGTTATACCAGTTGCGATTGTACGTGCTAGTGTGAGAATGCCCTGAGTTAGGCGTCGATCGATATTGGGCAAGGGTGCTATTCGAATCGGTAAAGAAAATTTGGAGGCCGTAGGAGGCTATTCGGAATCGGGAAAAAAAAATTGGAGGCAGTGTTCCGGGGCGGGCTGAAGCGGGTCGCGATGGGTGCAGCACAGAAAATGAAGGGAGGAAAGGAGGCAGCACAGAAAATGAAGGGAGGAAAGGAGGGAGCACAGAAAATGAAGGGAGGAAAGGAGGCAGCACAACAACGCTGGGAGGAAGGGAGGAAAGGAGGGAGCACAACAACGCCTGAAGGGAGGAAAGCAGGGATCACAACAACGCCTGAAGGGAGGAAAGGAGGCAGCACAACAACATGGCACGGCAGCGGACGCGCAGGTGGTGGTGGAGGTGGGAGGAGTGAGGACCACGGCGAGAACGAAATGCATCGTCCACAGAAAGTGGTAAGATGCATCCGTTGGTATTCATAGTAACCGATGCAATAAAATCTTGCCCTTCTCTGTGGGAAGATGCATTCGTTTCGTGACAGTGGTGTGGCGACGCCCTTACGAGCAGGCCATGTGGATTGTCTTCGGATCGTTATTTTATTTTAATATTTAATCTAATTTTTATTTTGCTGTGTGTTCGGTCTACATTCTTTGGTTTAGAGTCGTATTCGGCGGTGGAATACTTGTGCGGAGCATGGAGGCATATCGGGACATTGACTGCAGGGGTCTGTTTCGAGCATTGGCAGCCATCATAGAAGAGCATTGGCAGCTGTGATAGGTCAGTCGTCAGGTCTGCAACCCGGCAATGACAGGCAGGGAGGAGCGACCATGGTGGAGTCCAGTAGTAGCGGGCAAGCAAGTGGAACATCCATGGTCGGGCAGGGAATGGCTGGGCAGGGATTGGCTGCGGTCGTTTTCCCGGATGTGGCTGTTTTCCCGGAAAATAAGGTAAGAAAAAAAGACGGGAGGCTGGTCACGCATCCGCCGTGCAATGCAACGCATATGGTTGCCTTGTCATGTCACGCAGATGGTTGACGTAAGGCTTGCGGGCGTGCATGGCAAGCGTGTCGGGGAGCGGACATGGGCAGTGAGCTGTAGCGGGTATATAGGGGATGAGGCCTATGGTTGAGGACACAGCATTTGCGTTGGCCATTGCGAGCGGAGGTGATTACATGTGCGTAAGCCCGCATCTGCTCCTGCTCCGCTATCACACATCTCGTTGGACGGCGGCGTTGTCAGCAGAGCGGGTTACGCGGTCCCCTGATCGAGAGGCTGTGCCCGCAAGTCTGTTGTTCCAATATCCTTGTCTTGCTTTGGCTCCGACGTCCTTGTGTTCCTTTGGCGACTGTTCGTCCTGTTATCCGTCTGCGGGTAAGGCGTCAATCTTCGTCCGGTCACCAGCTCCTCTGCATGTCTTCGCTGTCCTTTTCTCTTCTTTTCTCTTGTGTGTGTGTGTGTGTGTGTGTGTGTGTGTGTGTGTGTGTGGTGTTGGGCCTGAAGATATGGACAGTTGCACTCATACTCGGCCCAAAACGGTAATCGGTGAGTTCGCGCGGCATGGCAAAGTGCACCCTCTCCCCCTCGTCGCTCGCTCTCTCTATCGGCGGTATTGAACGTGAAGAGTTGGAGACTTCCATTCACACTCACCCAAGAAGTGAAATGGGCGGGTTCACCCGGCGTGGCAAAATACACCGTCTCTCTCTCTCTCTCTCTCCCTCCCCCCCTCCCTCCCTCCCGCTTCCTACATCCCTCCTTCCCTCCTTCCCTCCCTCCATCCGTCCAGTAGTTTAGGGATGCAACTGCAGTTTTTGCAGGGGTGGAGAAGGAACACTAGGGGAAGGTCAACGTGCCTGGTCAGGCATGCAGGAGTAGGATGCCATCGAAATCTTGAGGGGTTGGCGTAGCAGGAGAAGGACGAAGCGGGAGGGTGAGGATGCGGGATCAGGACGAGCAGAGGGTCAGGATTTCGTCGGCCAGGGTCGGATGTGACGACAGAGGGAGTCGAAGGTGAGTCACCGGGATATGGTGAAGCATGCAACGGGAGTTTGCCAACGTTGAGTTTGTGGGGGGGGGGAGAGACGTCGAGGAGGGTGGTGAAGTAAATGGAAGGAGGAGGTAGGTTGGGGACCCAGTTTGCGAAGAAGGGGATGGGAAGCTTGAATTGCGAGGGGGGCGATCAGGATGTGGGATCGGGAGGAGAAGGTCAGAATGTCAGCCACTCACAGCGAGGATGTAGGAACCAATGAAGTGCGCAGGGGAGATGTAGGAACCAATGAAGTGCGCAGGGGAAAGAGCGCCAAGGCAACAGGGTGAGGAATGCAGATCGTGGAGGAGGRATCCGGACAAGGTGGGAAAGAAGGAAKATGGGAAGGTAGGAAGAGGGGCTYAGCGCGGAGGGAGAGGAAGAGGTTGTAAGAAAAGGAGAGAGCAGGATAATGACGAAGGGCCTGAATCACGAGAGGGACAGGGTAAATGTCGATATGCAGGTGATGGAGAGAGAGGGATGAAGAGAGAGGAATGAAGAGAGAGGAATGAAGAGAGAGGAATGAAGAGAGAAAGAGCTACATACAGGGCAACATCGAGTACTGGAGGAACAGGAGCTTGAAGAGGATCCCAACGGAGGAGAGAAAGGAGTGGAGAAAGACGGGAATAGAAAGGTTACACGGGGATGGGGGCAGCTAGCGCTCAAGCTGTCATCCACGTAGCTGGCCTTGTACGTAAGAGGTGATGAACAGGCGGGGCTTTCCTTCTTTTTTTTTTTTTTT